TGGCTTTAATGCGTGCGTTCTATCGGGTTACCAGCAGCACTTTCATAGATTGCAGTTTCATTTAAAGGATTACGTGTGTGCGATGGTGTGTAATGCAAATAATTGTATAAAACCATGAAAGCTGACTGCTGGATACTCACGTTACCTAACACTTAGAGATCTGTGAGTTCAAAAACATGTGGGGCTGAATATTTAGTTAACATCTCAAGTACAGCAAACAAAAAGTCCATTTAATGGCGTTTTTTTAGCACTCATGTTTTGAAAATCTAAGCAATCTTTCCATAGCGAAATAATTCGAAAAGCCAACAGACTTTGACATATTAAAAAGTTTTTGTGTTGCCAAATTTCAGTTTCATCTCCAGGTTTGAATTGAGAGTTTCCTTCTCTAAGGAGAGTTCCCGACAAACGCTTCCCATCCACCCGGGGTGCTAGGGGTTTTCGCTTGACTGGCCTCTGGCTGGAATTGAACTCCCGACCACCAACTTGAGATATGCTCAGTTTAGACCACTCGTCCACTCTTCCACAGTTTTTTTGTTGTTGCCTAATTTCAGTTCTTTTTTAGTACCAATTTTCAGTTCTTTAGATGTGCCGAATTTCAGGTCTTTGGTGGTGACGAATTTCAGTTCTTTAGTAGTACCAAATATTAGCTCTTTAGTAGTGTCAATTTCAGTTCTTTAATTGTGCTAAATTTCGGTACTATAGTAGTGCCAAATATTAGTTCTTTAGTAGTATCAAATTTCAGTTCTTTAGCAGTCCCAAATTTTAGTTCTTCGGTGTTGCCAAATGTCAATTCTTTAGTAGTGCCAAATTTCAGATCTTAAGTATTTCTAAAACTGGTGCGTTGCTACTGATTTTCAATTGGGAAGCGGAAATGGTAAAGCCCAGCGGGTATGGTGGGCACTAGGGACATGAAACATGAGAGACGGACCCAAATCAGAACTTACTGCCTTGTAGGAAGTGGAGGATTTAACAGTATAATAAGACACCAACTCAAGTGTGTGGTCTGTGTAACAATTAACCTTTATTCACAACTCCACATTAAATTTCATACCCCACATCACATGATCACACACTCCAGTTATCCAGCCACTATTCACACATTTAGGTTTAAACATTCTTGAAAACAACTCATCACGTCCAGTCATAAAACATGACAACACCACAGGACAATCAGGTCGCAAAGTTCAATCAATACACACTGGAATAATCGTCAGTCATAGATAATATCACAGAGGGATACACAAAGGTTAGGGAAACTTACCCGAAAATTACGGCAGCTACCAAGAGATCTTCAAGGGTTGTCCCCTTTCCAGTCGGTTGTGTTCAGGGCTAAGAACGCGGCCACGTAAAATAACTAACGTTACGAAAATCAAACAACAAAATCAAACGCAGACTGATTCTAATGGAATCTGTATTTTATTCTGATGTTTCCCCTTTGTTATCATTTCTTCAAACGCAATTTATAATCCACATCTGGCTCAGGCTTAATGCATTATTTAAAATTGAATTTTCACATGCGTATTTTTACTAGGTGATTTTTTGAATGAAATGGTAGAACAAGGTATATTAAATCTTGAAATCAAAAGACAGGACAAGTAGATGTATACGTTTCGGTTTAGAGCCTCCTTCAGCGAACCGGACCAAAAAATACAACAACAAAAAACAGAGCACAGAAAGAAAAAAAAAACGTCTTAACCTTATGAGAACTTCAAACTTTGCGGTGGTCAAGAGATTGGACTGGTTTGCCTTGTGCTGAGCTAGATTATAATAATCTAAGTTTCATTGGCTTTAATATTTTTTCTCATTGTATGAGTCTAGACCACGGTCGTGTCTTACCTTTACGGGTCTTAGATTATTGATTTTAACATTAATTGATAGGAAAATAAATCTATTAGGTAAACGTCACAACCTTGACCAGTTGTGAAGTTCTGAATATTTCCTTAAATCCAGAGTTTGATATTATCTGAAAGATAGACGGCGACCAAAACTTTCAGATTGCATATGTCTGTGTGTTGTATTTTACACACAGCTTCAGATTGCATATGTCTGTGTCTTGTATTTTACACACAGCTTCAGATTGCATATGTCTGTGTGTTGTATTTTACACACAGCTTCAAATTGCATATGTCTGTGTGTTGTATTTTACACACAGCTTCAGATTGCATATGTCTGTGTCTTGTATTTTACACACAGCTTCAGATTGCATATGTCTGTGTGTTGTATTTTACACACAGCTCTCTTTTTCGAACTATGCAATTTCAAGGGAATTTAACATTTTGAAGCTGCCTCCTTTCCTTAAAGAACCATCCAAAAAATATTTCTCAAACAAATGCTGTTTTGCTTTTAAAATTCATTTTTTGCGTCTCACATAGTTTTCTAACGCATTATATATCACTGGCCTCTTAAAAAGATTTGACATCTCCTCCCTTAAAGACAGACGAGAGGGACTCCGTCAGATATTCTAATATAAAGTGGTCAATGACATCAATATACTTACTACTAAGCAACTACTGAATGTTGTGTCCGAGTTCATGAGTACTTTGCATGTTAAGAAATGGCAGAGGTTTCTCTAAGAACCATAACTCAAAGTTTCTGCAGAATTCCCTGACATTGTTATAGGCAACACTGACAAGCTACCCCCAGGTCTTGTAACTTCTTGTTGAGTACATTCAGCTCCTGTGTAATTTCAAAAATAAAGCCAAGTCAATGAGCCATTTGGAATCACTTAGTACAGGAACAATCAACCCATTTTCCTCCAGGAAGGCTTTAAATGCTAAAACGTGTCAAGCAATAGGCAGGTGCAGGCCATATTTATCAATTATTGACTAGAAAGAAGAAGCTTTTGTAGGTATAATGAATTTTGACTTTTTATAGTTGTAAAGGTCTCTTTGACTAACCTCATTTTGAAAGACAATCCTACTATAGGGTTTAGAAACTTTGAAAAAACGGCGAGCCCTTATCAGAAAGTACAGACCTTCATAAACACATGTTAGGTGCCCATTGACAAAGACATCTAAATAAAAATGGAGATGGATAGGACATACTCTCCGAGACCCCCAGATAGCACCACCAAACAATTCCTAATATGGAATCCACAGGAAAAGAGAAAGAGAGGAAAGCTAAAGAATACATGGAGACGCGAGCTAGAAGCAGACACGCAAAATATGGGATACACCTGGAAATAGCTTTAAAGGAAGGCACTGGCCCGTGATGAATGGAGAATTCTTGTCGATGGCTTGTGCCCCAGTCTGGGTAAATAGGCATAAGAAAAAGAAGAAGAAGTTGAAAGTGACCAAGGCTCAGAATGAATGCGTGAACGAATTTAAAAATATCTAAATATTTAAGTTTCAGCTTCGGTTTCGGTTTTGGCCGAAAGTCTCTTTCAGCTTTCGGTTTCATCATCGGTTTCAGCCAAAAGTCACTTTTTTAACTTTCGGCCTAGTTTCGGTTTCGGTTGAAATTCATTTTTCGGCCGAAATCAGAAAATCACTTTGGTCGGTCTCTGGGTTCAAAAAGAAATTTGATTGAAATTTGAAGCAATTTTGACGAAAATTTGAACGTGTGAACATAGCATTGCTTGTTATTTAGATTATATCGAAGCAAGAGCCAGAAGCAATTTAATATCAACCAAGACAGAGCAGAATCCATCCACTATATTAGGTTCGAGAGAACAAGAGATTTTGGGCACGAGAAATATAGCAGTCATGAGGAGAGAGGAAAGCAGGTCAACCATGTGCACCCAAGAGTGTGAGAGATAGAGAAAGAGAGAGAGTACGAAAGAAAGAGAGGAGGGAGAGGGGCGAGAGGAGAGAGTGGCATAGAGAGAGATGGAGAAAGATAAAAAGATAAATATATATAAATATATAAAGAGAGAGGGGGAGAGAGAGAATGAGAGAGGGAGAAAAAGAGAGATATATATAAAAACGTAAGAGAGATAAAGGGGGAGAGAGAGAGAAAGAAAGAGAAAAAGAGAGAGAAAAGGAGATTGAGAAAGAAATAAAGAGCGAGAGAAGAGAGAGAGACGGAGAGAGAAAGAGATAAAAAGATATATATCTATAAAGAGAGTGAGAGCGATAAATAGAGAGGGAATGAGAGAAAGAGAAAGACAGTGAGAGAGCAAAAGATAAAAGATATGTATATATAAATGTATATATAGAGAGAGAGAGAGTGAGAGAGACAAAGAGAGAGATAGAATGAGAGAGTGGGGGAGAGAGTGACTAGATCGCTATGAAGGAGGCTGTACATATTTATCGTCCAAGGATATTATTATAATTTAAGCATCACAATTATGTGTTATGATTATGCCAATTTCAGCTGTATTTGAGGAGCTATTATTTTACAAAAAATATAGTTTATTTGATTATGCGATTTACTGTATATAAGTGAAATGGGCAAAACAGAAAAACCTTTTAAGAAAGCTGGGAAAGTCACGTTCATGGTTTAGACCAGGGACGTGCTGGCACATGGAAAACCGGTGACGAACGGTGTAGTAGGAAAGGCCCGGAGGCCTCCCCCCCCCCCACCCCGCACACTGGAGATTGTAATAACTTGATAAAATAAATTTGATTTACCCAAAAAGGCCAATGACGAATGCTCGTCGAGTCGTCGTGGGTCAGCACGTCCCTGGTTTAGACAATACTAATTTCAATAGTACTAACAATAGGTGAATATCCATACAGCCATACATACAATAGTATCAACATTAAGTGAATATCCATACAGTTATACATACAATAAAGAAGGGTATTTCAATTTCGCCTTTGTCTCATTCAATTGATCTAGTATCAATTTTGAGACTTTTAAAACTACTATGATCACCCCCCCCCCTTTTAACACAACAATGTCAAACTGTAAAATGTAATTTTCAAATAATTTTTTCCAATCAATATCCCTTCATCCCATTTTCATGTCTTACTCTCTAACTCTCTCACACCTTCAGCTCATTAAAATGTATCGATCCAATATTTTCATAATAAGTCTTAAATACAGAGTTGATAAATTTCCCTGGCAAATTTTATGTTTGTTAAACTATGAACTATTACTATACTCCAAGAAAGAGACATGACCAAACTGAACTTTTGTCTCGGCGTGTGCATCGGTCTGAGCATGACCGCCATAATCCAAGTGTTTGACGTCACCAGCACGTTCAAAGACTTCTACGTTCGTAACGTCAGTCCTCAGCGCTGGAGCAACTCGCCTTATGTAAGTTAACTAAAAGGATTTGTGTCGTTGGGTTTCAACATTTGCTGAAGACGACATTAGAAAGTCTTGTGCCGAGCAAAGTCTACCTCGGCGTGGCAAAGTCTACCTCGGGGTGGCAAAGTCTACCTCGGGGTGGCAAAGTCTACCTCGGGGTGGCAAAGTCTACCTCGGGGTGGCAATGCGAGAGTTTCCCTCATCATTTAGAGCTCTGCGTATGTCTAAAAAAAAATATTTATTAACACATATTTCGCATGAAAAGTGTTGACAGTAGCGTCACCTGCAATTGCAGACCTGGGAGATTCCCTTTTCGTATGTTCTGAGTGGAGATTGGCGTTTGTCTTTCTTTGACTAAAATCAAGTTATTGTGTTAACTTTAAAATGGTTGGATTTTATCGGTATGGGTAAAATCTTTAAATCGTATAAAGACTTTAAAACAAGTTTTAATTATTTTCTAGTATAGAGTATGGAATGGCCTATCTTTAACTTACACATTCACCACCACTTGACCCATTATATTGCCATGATATTGACGTCAGCGTGTAAATGTGATGTGTAATCTCTTACCCACATCACACTTGGTTGGGAAAAGGTAGTTCACTTTCGAATGCGTTCCATTTGTTCTCAAGAATACCATTAGGTGACGCAATGTCTAGAATTTCTGTACCACCGCGCTCGGATTTAATTTCTATAGATATGACCATCAGGATTTTTTAACAGATTAGACAGAGAAAGATAGAGAAAGAGGGAGGTTCTGGCTATTTGAGTGTCAATGATATGAGAATCCCTGTTGTTAGTGTGAACGCAATTTATTTTCTTTGAAATGTGTCACGGGTTGTGTCACGGGTTGTGTCACGGGTTGTGTCACGGGTTGTGTCATTGTGTCACGGGTTGTGTCACGGGTTGTGTCACGGGTTGTGTCATTGTGTCACGGGTTGTGTCACGGGTTGTGTCACGGGTTGTGTCATTGTGTCACGGGCTGTGTCATTGTATCACTGGTTGTGTCATTGTGGCACGGGTTGTGTCATTGTGTCATTGGATGTGTCATTGGTTGTGTGTCGTTGTGTCACGGGTTGTGTCACGGGTTGTGTCACGGGTTGTGTCATTGTGTCACGGGCTGTGTCATTGTATCACTGGTTGTGTCATTGTGGCACGGGTTGTGTCATTGTGTCATAGGATGTGTCATAGGTTGTGTCACGTGTTGTGTCATTGTATCACGGGTTGTGTCATTGTGTCATGGGTTGTGTCACGGTTTCACGAGTTGTGTCATTGTATCATGGATTGTGTCATTGTGTCACGGGTTGTGTCATTGTGTCACGTGTTGTGTCATTGTGTCACGGGTTGTGTTAGGAGTTGTGCCCATCTGTTGGACGTTGCATACCATGATTGGGTGAGCGCCTGGACATTGTGTAGATTGGTTTACGTTTAAACCAGAGTATTTTTACCCCCGGGGATCAATACCGTGGCCGGACTTTGAAACTTACCCCTGCGGTGTAAAATACGGCCAGGATGAGCTATTCCGATTTGAAGGTATCCTGCTGTTTTCATGTATCGCGCTGTGCAATTTCCTGAGCCGGCTGTAACCCGCTGTTTCCGGTACACTGATGTGACTGTATTCTGAGGCACAATATCCTGATTTTGCTGTGTCCCTCTGCCCGTAACAGTGACAAGTAGCCTGCGCTTGCTGCTGTGGAAAAGTCTATGTCCATGTAGAAATAACCGTTACACCCCAGATAACGCCATTTCTTAATCTGACATTGCCGAGGCGATTTTCCTGAGTAGGAATGAGTAAATATTGAAATAAATAAATTGTTGATTATTTCGATGATGTGGTGGAGGTGAGCTTTTCTTGACCTGAGTTGGGAACAGGGGAGAAAGCTGTTAAGATTGTCCGCGGTTTTTTTTTTTTATTCAAGAGATAGCGAGAGCCTGGTGTTCATCGAACGTGAGATCAAGGACAGCTCGATAGTCAAGCCATATAAATGTTTGACAATTTGTTTTGAACAGAAGTGTGTGAGTAGCCATCAATGTGCAGGGATTGATTTTGTTGAGGAGGGGAGTGTTAATCATATGTTGGTAAGTGTGTCTGTTGATAATATGTTGGTAGGTGAGTGTTGAACATATGTTGGTAGGTGAGTGTTGAACATATGTTGGTAGGTGAGTGTTGAACATATGTTGGTAGGTGAGTGTTGAGCATATGTTGGTAGGTGAGTGTTGAACATATGTTGGTAGGTGAGTGTTGAACATATGTTGGTAGGTGAGTGTTTAACATATGTTGGTAGGTGAGTGTTGAGCATATGTTGGTAGGTGAGTGTTGAACATATGTTGGTAGGTGAGTGTTGAACATATGTTGGTAGGTGAGTGTTGAACATATGTTGGTAGGTGAGTGTTGAACATATGTTGGTAGGTGAGTGTTGAACATATGTTGGTAGGTGAGTGTTGAGCATATGTTGGTAGGTGAGTGTTGAACATATGTTGGTAGGTGAGTGTTGAACATATGTTGGTAGGTGAGTGTTTAACATATGTTGGTAGGTGAGTGTTGAGCATATGTTGGTAGGTGAGTGTTGAACATATGTTGGTAGGTGAGTGTTGAACATATGTTGGTAGGTGAGTGTTGAACATATGTTGGTAGGTGAGTGTTGAACATATGTTGGTAGGTGAGTGTTGAACATATGTTGGTAGGTGAGTGTTGAGCATATGTTGGTAGGTGAGTGTTGAACATATGTAGGAAGTGAGTGTTGAACATATGTTGGTAGGTGAGTGTTGAGCATATGTTGGTAGGTGAGTGTTGAACATATGTTGGTAGGTGAGTGTTGAACATATGTTGGTAGGTGAGTGTTGAGCATATGTTGGTAGGTGAGTGTTGAACATATGTTGGTAGGTGAGTGTTTAACATATGTTGGTAGGTGAGTGTTGAACATATGTTGGTAGGTGAGTGTTGAACATATGTCGGGTTGTGAGGGTTTTTTTTATTCTGATGTGATTACTAAATATGTTGTTAAGAGAGAGAGAGAAAGGGGGTATTGCTGTGGCTTTGTCCATTCTGACTATGATTAGCTTTGTGCTTTGAATGTTGGGAATATGATCTGTCAACTTATAAGTGACGCGTTTGAACAGTCCTACACCCTACATGTAGGCATTTAAACAAAATCCCAAACAGACAGTCTTACACCCTACCTGTCGGCCTTTACACAATGGGCCTACAGACAGTCCTTCACCCTACCTTTCAGCCTTAAAACAATAGTCCTACAGATAATCCTACAGACAGTCCTATAGTCAGCACAGCACCATACCAGTATACTTGTGTATTCTGTAAAATTATTGTTAAAGCTTACCTTATGTTGTTATATTGACTCAAATTGTTGGTGTCTAATTAATCAATTTTAAAGCTTAATCGCTGTCCAAATCTTTTTATAATTCGTTAACCACACACGTGGCTCTTTATTGAATTATTATATTTAACTGCCCTTAAGGACATTTTTCAAACAAAGTTCACACGTCACACATGGCAGCCTTTTTCCTCAGTGCTATTAATATAACAAATGTGGGGTTTGGGGAAGGGCGGTTTCGGAAAGGAAGCATGACACACCAGAAGCAAATTATATGTATATATAAGAAATGATAGTTTGGGATAAACTACAAAATTGTTAATGAAAACAGCAGACGCTGCAGAGAAGTAAAAAGATATTGTCCAGGACGTGGAATATCACTAATTGTAAGAATATGGTGCCGTCACGGGTTTGGACCATGAAAAGGGTTAAATGCAATTTTTGTAGGAAAAGTTTGTTAAGGATATTTTTTAATGAAATTTGAGATGGCATTAAAAAAAATACCGATTATCAAATTCACTGCAGTTGTTGTTTTAAGCATTGATGTGTTGTAAATGTATGATCCTTGTCAGTGATTCCCTACCCGAAAGTTTCGTTTGTATAAAGATTATACTCGGAGAGTAGAAACTTAAAGGAAAGTGGTGGGGATGATTCAAGTGTATGAGAATCACTGTACTTAGTATGAACGCTGTTTAGTCCGCGAGTTGTGTCATGAGCTGTGTCGTGAGCTGTGTCGTGAGCTGTGTCGTGAGCTGTGTCGTGAGCTGTGTCGTGAGCTGTGTCGTGAGCTGTGTCGTGAGCTGTGTCGTGAGCTGTGTCGTGAGCTGTGTCGTGAGCTGTGTCGTGAGCTGTGTCGTGAGCTGTGTCGTGAGCTGTGTCGTGTCATGAGTTGTATTACTGTGTCGTAATGATCAATGTGGGTTTTGGGGGGGGGGCAGAAAATGCATAATAAACAAATGTGTGAATATAAGGATGAGATCGAGAGAGTTCAATGAAGTTAAATACGGAAAGGGTTCATGCGAGATACAGTGAGTGAGTGCGTTTTGAACATACTGGCTTTGGTTATGAAAGATAATGTAACCAGTTTGATCTGTCTGACAGATGTGCAGAATAAAGGTGAGCCGTGTTATTTCATGAAGTATTTGTGTTCTAGTACTCAGCGTGCCTGGTTCTCAGTCCATATGGGCTCAGTGATACTCCTTCGTTTGGACGTAAATATTTACGTACGCTATGTAAACACTCGATATAGATTTCTTTTTTTTTTAATATGCAGACATCTTGTCAACAAAAGTCGTCCAGTTTTGAGAACCCTTCGAAAAAAACAGAGGAAAAGCTGATGGGTTCACGGCTAGCCAGCTTTGAGGTTGACAGTTTCCACAAAGGTATTTCACGTTATTCAATCTTTGGATGAAGATGTGATTAAAATTTGTAGAATAATTGAAGACGGCAAATGAATAAATGGTTTTGCAAACTTAGCTCTTATCAATACGTCTACGCAGTTTAGGGAAGATATATATTTTACTGCAAAGCTTTCCATTTTGACGAGTATTGCTGATTATAGTAACTTAAAGCGTTTTGAAATATGTGGGGGGGGGGGGGTATTTTATATTTTCACAAGCTACATATGTTTGTTATTACACGAAACAAATCAATGAAACATATTGGACATATATATGGGCATATTTTCACAAGCTACATATGTTTGTTATTACACGAAACAAATCAATGAAACATATTGGACATATATATGGGCCCATACACTGAATGAGTTCAGTAGCACCAAAGATTTTGATCCTTTGATTTTATTTTGAACTATTTTAAAATCAAATGAACTAACTAAAAATTTCTTTATTTTTTCATTTCAGACAACGATGCTATAGTGAAAAATCTTTTTAAAACGGTTCGCGTTGCATGCTGGATAATGACATCTCCGAGCAACCTAGACAAGTAAGCCAACAACCGCAAGTCTACACATAACGGTCTGCAAGCACTATGTACTACACACTCTGCACTATACCCATAAGCCTCTGCACGTCACAAACCACATTCAGAAGACTTAACTCATGACACAGGAAAAAACACACACAGCGTGCTTTTTTTTTTTACTTAAACATCCTGCTAGTATAATGGGGTAACTATCTATAACAAAATTGAGATGATCAATCTAATGACGATAACAAAATATGGTCAGTGCATTGACGAATGTACAACTATAAAAAGAAAATGTATCTTTGTACATTTTTCAAAGTTATACTGAGCGCAATGCAGCAGTTACAAAGCGCCGTTGTAAGAAACGAGCGAGGAGTTAAGAATTATTTGTAAAATATCATATCACTTTATGTCATCTTTAACCTGTTTTGACAGATGTAAAATGGTGTAGAGGGAAATAGCCTCGGTTCATACAGTAACAACCGCACCGAATAAAAAAAATCTGCTGGCCTATCATTTTCTCTTTTTTTTCTTTTTTTTTTTGGCGCAGATTGCGATTCGTGTGAATAAGTTTCTCATATTTTGTACTGACAGAATTGCGTTTTGTGAATTCATTTAAGAAGAATTCAAATATCGTCATATTAGCAAAGTGGCATTTCATGTGAAAAAAAAAAAGTAGCAGTTCTACCTATTTTTCCTGACAGAAAGGCGATTCATGTGAAGAACACCTGGACCAAGAGATGCAATGTTGTCGTGTTCATCAGCTCTGAGAGAAATGACAGATTTCCTACCGTAGGAGTGAATGCCAGTGAAGGGAGGAAACATCTCACTGCGAAAACAATGCAGGTGACAAAGTGTGACAGGAGCATCCTTCCCTTAACATTGGCTTATTTCGTTTTGTTTTTTGTATTTTTCCTTAAATCCCGTGGAAATGGTTAAGAGAAGGGCAGAGAGTTCTCTTCTTTTTCTTACCGTAACAGAAATTATAAAAACCCACAACGTGGACCTCTAGTATACATGACACATGGCGGGAGGTCCATCAACTGTAATTCCCCGCGACATATCCTCAGTATCCTCGGAGAGAACAGATTTCCCATAGAAAAAGTCATCCTAAAAAGGGAAAGGCTTTGTTAATTTATTTGAAAAGAATTAAAAGTTATATTTAGAATTGTGGGCAATGGTGGATTGGGTTTGAAAAAAAGTATCAAGCTAAGTAAATTTATTTGAATTAAATGTGTCCCTTTATAACTAAAATATTTACTCATGGTCTCTACTGGAGATAGCTTAGAAGGACTTAGGTATCGTTAGTAAAGACTTAATTTGGTAGTTATCGATCAATCAATTCTCTTTTATTATCCCAACACTGTATTTGTGGATCTTAACATGTGGTAATAGTAAACATACGGGTTCTAATCTATTTTTATGTACTATTACATAACTTCGTTTTTGTTCGAATTTGGCTGGAAAAAAATATTTGGACGGCTAACTGACCCACTTCCCGTCAACCTATCAAGCTGAAATCAGGCATATAGACTCCGTGCCAACGACAACATAGATTTTCATTTCCCACCTCCAGCCAAAACCCCGGAAAAAAAGTTTTTCTTGTCGTCCAGGTAGAACCTGAAGGATATATGATGACACTGATTTCACAACATAAAATTCCAAATAACTGCGCTAAATAAGATTCTCTTTTAAACAAACAAAAAATTACCGAAATGCATTGGGTGCGTAATAGTTTCTTTTCTTTTTTTACCAAAAGTTTGGGGAAAATAAAACATATGACCCAATCAAACTCTCAGATTGGTCAGTCTTTATAGGTCCCAATGCTATGTATTATATGAACGGGGGAAATTAACAATATCATTATTGTTTCCCATCAGTGGTTCACACATTCATATCGATATTCGTAAAAATGATTTGTTGATTTATAAAATACATAAGACATCTTACATGTAAAAAAAAAACAAGCAGTTAACTCTAACCACAATTTAAAATCTCTCTCCTTCTAAACAACATCTTCTCCAAAAGGCCTTCGAATATCTTTACGACCGCCATCTTGATGACGCAGACTGGTTCCTCAAAGCGGACGACGACACCTACGTCATCATGGAAAACCTCCGCTACTTCCTGTCAGGCGAAGACCCCGAAAAACCGGTTTACTTTGGGCAACGTTACAGACCCTACGTCAAACAAGGGTACGCCGCTGGTGGGCCGGGCTACGTCATCAGCAAAGAGGCCCTAAGGAGGTATGGACAGAGGGGTTCTCAAAACTTTTCCCTGTGTAGAAACGACAGTGGATACGAGGACGTGGAATTCGGGAGGTGCCTGGAAAAGCTGGGTGTCATCTTGAAGCCAAGTCTGGACGCACAGAACGGGACCCGCTTTCATAATTGGACGCCAGAGTCCTACCTCTGGGCCCAGTTCCCTAAAGAATTCTTAGCATACGATTTTGAGAATGGAAGAGCGGTGAGTGTGTCCACTGCATGCTCGAAGCCGGGCTTAGGGTACTGAAAGACTTCCAAACTGTAAGATTCTGACTCTGTTTAATAAATGTCCAGCGTTACTAAACGACTCTAAAACTTTATGAAATCACTTCTTCTTGATCATTGAACTGGAGCTTTAATTTAACTGTTAAAAAATTCTACAAATTATTTATAATGAAACTCAGCTGGTCGTAAACCGTTATTAAATCTGCATATTATGTCTGATACAAGTAAATTAGTTTGTCAACGTTTCTTAAGCTTCTCCTCCATCAATGTTTAATTTTTTTTTTTTTTTTTTGTTTTTTGTGAAATTATTTTTTTTTTTTTTTTTTTTTTTTTTTTATGTTTATTGAGACATCATAATTCTTTATTTTATTTTTTTTTTTAAAGTCTATGAACCGATAAGTCAAAACACATGTTACAGGTACTCAGTCATGATATGAAGTGGAAAGGTAAAACATAGCAGACTTTAAAACTTGAAATGAAAGGACACTTTTTTAAAAAGAAAATGGTCACCAAAGAAATTGATATAAAGAATTTTCTATGATTCTTTTCTTTTAACTTGATAATCAGAAAAATCATTTTAATGGTCGAACGACCAATTATCTTACTTAGAAACATCACACGAAGATTTAAGCTGATTAATTTTGATCTCAAATCTATAGTAACAAATTTATGGATTAAACTCTGTATGACATCAAAAGAAAGGTCCATTAATGTATGTCTATGTTCACCTGCTTATTACTGAAGTGAATCTTTCACGTATTTATGGAAATTTTTTAAGGAGAGCCTAAAGTATTCCCTTTGACAAAAATGTCCAACTTTAAAAAAAAATTATTTTTTTTTTTTAAAGTCTAAGAACGTGTCTATAAAATCTTATAAAGTCCTCTCACCAGGGGCGTAACTAAAATGTTTGGAGCCCAGTAAAAAAATGTATGTTTTCGCCTTAAACACCCTGGCGCCCGGGGACATTTCTGCCATCTGCCCCCTCCCCCCTTTTTTTCGCTATGTTACTGACACTGTTTGGCTCATAGAAAATTTCCCGTAAAATCAAGATTCAATTATTTATTCAAGTTGACTTCTTTCAATCTATTTCAGTTAACAACATTCACATAATACCATTTGTTCAGACTTTCAATTAATCATGACTTTATAGTACATTTTCTTTTCTAAAGATGATTAATAGTGATTTTTTTTTATTATCTGTTCCCTCCAGGGTATTGAAAACGTCAGCGACTACGCCATTGCCTTCCACTACATTTCTCCGACTAAAATGTACGACCTGGAGTTTTTCATCTATCATTTACGCCCTTACGGAATACTCAACATCCCACGGAAGCTTAACGTTGTCACGTGATCCCGCTTAGTTGAAGCATCCTGTGTTTTTTTTTTACTTCTTTTTTTTTTAGTGTGTAACGGGAAATGTAAATTTTTCATGATTTCTTGTGTATCCTCTATACCAAAAAGAAATACTTTATTATACACATTATACTATGATCGAGTTATCTTGATGCATTGTTGAATAACATGAGGTATTTTTGGGGAAACTTGTATCTGATCCCTTGCTTACATTTCTCTACTTTTTGCGTGATAGTTATTAAATAACATAGAACATTAACTACAAGATTTTACTTCCTTAAATACTTTTTATATTGGTACATTTTAAGTCACACTTGATTTTCTCCCTTTACATTTCTTATGACATATTTCACTACCGATTGTTGCCCCTGACCTTTCATTCTATCCCCTTGTTATGTTTTCCCTATCACCCTTGCTTTTTTTTTTTTTTTGGCTTAACCGCTTCCTTCGGTTCCATTAAAATTTCTTTTTTGCGGGTTATTGACTTTTGTTATTTTTTGCCATAAAACTAAGGTACAAACTTTGAACGCTGTCCACAGTGTGGTCCTATCAGTTTCCACTCTCGGTTCTAAACGGCTGTTATCGTGACATCGCGCATGTATAACTCCGTGAAGCCACTTTGTGAAAAACTAATCAGCAGAGATGTTAGTCTATGCTGATCCCATGGTTAATCAATCAGCCCACAACTGATATCTTGTCATCTCTGACATCGTTTTCAAGTATAGGAAGGGCTGGTTTTCAACATTCTTACAAAGGTGTCCCTCTTTATCCAATTTTTCCAAACCTTATTCTCTGTTCCCTAAATGAATTTTTTTTTCTTCCAAAGTGTCACACCACCGACTAACGTAACAAGGAGTTTTAAAACAGGGGGGGGGGGGGGGGTTTTTTTTATTCCTTGTTTGGACAACAGAGAGCAGTGTGTAGAGCTTAGATAATAAACCTGTTGCTTATGACTTATGACATGAACAAATATGTTCATGAAGAAACTAAATATTATATCTATGTGTATATTATATTACTCGTTTAAATGCCACTTTTCATTACTTGGGGTACGAGCTACCAATGGTGTGAAAAAACTAGTTATAACCTCCCTTTAGACCTCTTTCTCTTTGGAAGTGTGTGCCGGAATAGGCTGTACGATGAAAATTATTTCAGAGAATCAGTATGAAAGAAATTGTTACATTATTAGACACAGCTATATTTTAAAATGAAATCAAAATCTTGAATTATTTATTGAATGAATTAATCGGGTAAGCAGACCTAATTTCTCTATTGTGTTCTGGGTCCTAGAGTACATATTGTGGAGTTCAAATCTTCTAGATGTCAAATCTCTAGATTTCAAAATTTATCAGATTCACAATCTATTAACCAAATGGTATAGAGTACAATGTCTCTATAATGCTTTCAAAGCTTCTAGTGTCAAAATCTAATTAGCAAAAAAAAATATTATACAATGTCTCTTGTAAAGTGCTGAAAGGCTCTCAGAGTCAAACGAGCTAGAGATATTAGTTTCTTGACATTTAAACAATTCTCTGCTCTTTCCCACTCTCAAAATCACTGCTCCGTCCCACTCTCCAATTCACTGTTCTTTCCATTTCATTCACTGCTCTTTCCAACCCTCCCATTCACTCCTCTATCCAACCCAACCATTCACTCCTCTATCCCACCCAACCACTGTTCGTTACAAGCCTTTCACCATTCGTTCAATCTCCTCACAAAAACTGCTTTTTGCCACCCTTCCAGTCTTTGCTTTTTGCTACCCTCCCAAGTTCTGCTTTTTGCTACCCTCCCAATCTCTGCTCTTTGCCACCCTCCCAAGCTCTGATTTCTGCTACCCTCCTTATCTCTGCTCTTTACCAGCCTCCCAATCTCTACTTTTTGCCACGTTCCCAATATCTGCCCTCAGTGCCACACTCCCCACTCTCTGCTCTTTGCAATCCTCTTAATCACTGATCTTTGTCACCACTCCCTATTAAGTTCCAAGTTTGTGTAATCGTTTATTGAAATGTATTTATTCCGAAGCCTCTCTATTTGGACTGTTACTTAAATTAGAATGGTTTCTATGTTTCTACGTGCTAAGCACGTGTGTGTCTTTATAATTTTTTTTAAATTGTGCGCTTCATTATTACGTCACCAACGTAGTTTGTTATTATTAAACAAATTGCATGTTCATATAATTTAAGTAATGAGGCCGTAATGACGTCATTTTGATTATGAAAAAGGGATAAATATAGGCGTTTTGTTAAATGGAACTTTTTTTGTTTGTTTTTATTCTAATTAAAGAAACGTATTTAAGGGGAAAAAATCTTTTAACATAATTTAATTGTGGTATCGCTAAAAGCAATATAACTTTACACAATTTAAAACGTTTGCACAATTTTTAAATTAAGTAATACGTGGTATTTTTTTTTTTAAACTCTACGTTATATGCTGTGGTTTTTAATATCGAATAAAGAGTTATTTTTAGATGTGTTCCAAAATGTTCAATAGACTTAAAAGAAATAACGAAATTATATTTGTTTTTTTTGTGGGGTTTTTTTCATTTTTTCAAAGGGAAACCTTTATAAGTTGTAAATAGTTAAAAAAAAATTATATTTTGTAATTTTTTAATCCATTTTATTAATTTTTTTTTGTTCGTGGCTGGCTGGGTGGCAAAATCTTCGGACGGCTAATTGATCCACTTCCCGACAACCTATCAAGTTGAACGTTGGTACTTAGACTTGTTGCCCAGAACAAAACTATCAAGTTTTCAACCCCAACCACCAAAAAATCCCCTTTTCCTGTTTTTCTAAGGGAGGCTAAAACGAAAATCCCGATAACTGTGCTAAATGAGATTCTTTTTTCTTTTTCTTTTTTAATATCCCCAGTGCGTTTGATGCGTAATATCTTCTTTTGTTTTTCACAAAGTGTTGGGTGAAATAAATCTATAATAATAATATAATTTAGGGGTTTGAAAAAAAATGTGCGTTTGCGAGTCTTTGGGAGCACTCATTGGTATTCTTATCAATTGCGGGTTTTTTTATATGTATGTTCTGCCAAATTTTAGCCCCCCACCCCCTTTTCCCGATTGATCAATATTATATTTTGCTAAGGAATTATTACAAAAAACTTAGTTTTTAAGGGTTTTTTTAAACTCTTTTGCTTAAAGGGAAACACTTTCAAGCTGTAAATAGTTTATTAAAAAAAATAATAAACAATTTTTAAAGAATCAATTTCTATTAAAGCAGTTAGTTTTTTTAAGCGAACGAGTAAGATGTTAAATCGTTTTTTTCAAGCAAAATGACCCTACACCGGCTCCTCTGTCCTCAACCTTTTCTAGGGATATGCATTGGCATTTGTGTGGCTCTCTTACTGCATGAGTTGTTCCGGTCAATTCATTTAGATTACAGTGCTTGTTGAAATCGGGACCACAAATATAACATTTGTTAATGTAAGTAGAAGAAGATACATGTTGTGCGCTCAACACTGGCACAATTTGAAAACCAAAAATCTTTAAAATCACAATCAACACGTTACGGCACACTATTGATAAAAATAATACTGCGATAACCGCGTTCACGTTTCCGTTTTCATTTTGGATATTTCGTATAGATAATTAAGGATAGTATTGAGATTATCCTTTAAAATGTAATAAACTTAGTTGCAAATCATATTGAAAACTAACAGAAAAAAATTAAAGAGAAATAAGACACTGATAACGCGGAACAATTACAAATCTACTGGAGTAAAAACCTATTTGGGGTAGCTGAAAAAAAAAAGCTTTTATTTTTAGCATTTCCCTTGAATAAATGAAACTTTTGCTGGTATCACTTCCTCTGAATTTCTCCCTATTTAAGCTTTAGTGTTATAAAAAAATTACAAACTTTTATTAAGTGTGCAATATTCACAAATACAATGTTCACAAATGCAATGGTCACACATGTAATATTCACAAATGTAATATTTACACATACAATTTTCACACATGCAATGTTCACACACGCAATATTTGCACACACAATGTTCGTACACACAATGTTCGTACACACAATGTTCGCTCACGCAATGTTCTCCACACGCAATGTTCACACAAGCAAATGTCATGTACCCAATGTTCACACATGAACATTTCACTCAATAATCACACGTGCAATTTAAATACATGCGATGTTCATACATCCAATGTTCACATGTGCAATTTTCATATGCGCAATGTTTAAGAAAAGAAGAAATTATTAAATATCTCATACTTTGGTTTGGAAGTTTGAAAGATTGGATAATTAACTTAATAAAAACTTTTTTTTTTATTATTAACGATCTAATGCTACTGGACAAATTGAATATACCACTTAAATTTTTAGAAATATCTTCATCGTAATTTATTACAAGTATGCATCAATGGAAACAAAAAAATGCAGGAAGGCAGGTCAGGAGACACTGTCGGAAATAGGTAAGATTTAATGATTTTGCAATGTTACAAGTTATAACTAAACTGAATTTCTCAAGTCAAGTGGCATTTACGAAATCCACATAAAATTTATTAAACCATAATACCCCGATCTTAATCATTTAAAAGAGGCGGCTCGCTATCGCGGTCAATATGCCCTATGAGGGTGACTGAATATATACCAGCTGTTGTTTTAGAACATAAGAAATTTACGTTGTTTTTTTTTAGAGTGTGCAATATCATTTGCTGTTAAATCAAGTATGACTTTTCTCAAATTTTTAAATGATTTTGTTTTAAAAATGACAATGATTTTTCATTATGTAAAAATGTAAGCGTTGTCATGGTTGAATTATGTTTTTAAAATATATATAGCCATAGCAACATACAAGTTCCATAATGTGTATTGTGACCACAGTTCAAAAGGTCAGCGGAAAAGATGTCACGTGATAAATTAACATGGTAGAGTTTAATGGGTGTTAAACCTACTGTTAAAAAGGACTTTTGTTATTGAATTAAATGCTGCCATGTGAGGCAATGTTGAATTTCATCATTATGATTTATTTTAATTATCGTACATGAATTTTTGTGTCATGCAAATTAATGAAATTAAGTACGAAGGGTTTGTTTGAGAAATTATGGTGAGCACTAGGCTTATACCACTGGTGTATCATTGCCCTTGCTGACACCACTGGCGTGTGAATACCCTGGCTTACACCACTGGTTTATCAATACCCTGGCTTACGCCACTGATGTGTTAATACACCGTTAATTTTTAAGGAGGCTAAAACATTGTTTGGTACAGGTCATTTTGTTTTTCCCAATGTTTCTAATTGAATATGTTTATGTGAATTGAATTTTATATGTGTCTCAGTTTAACTGCTTGAGTTAAATCTGAAATGGAAGTGGGTGGAAAAAAGATGAAGAAAAAAAAAGGGGGAGGGTGGGGGGGGGATATGTCGAGTATGCAAATTCATTAAGTAAATGTTGCGCACCGGATAATGTGTTTATTGTGAGATGTGTTTAATAGTTGCTTTAGTTAATGAACGCTTTTAATACCTTAAAGTTTGTGACGTATGTATTGTAATTGTGACGTAGTGTCTAGACTGTGTTTGGGGTACGTGGATTTTGGCTCAGCAGTTTATGATAGAACTCTGTAGTGGATGGCTGTGCATTATTATCCTTCTTACATCGTGCTGCGTTATAAAAGTATTTGAATAAATGCACAGCCTGATAGATGTTTATTATGGATTAAAAATTACATCGCTGATGGAAATGGACTTGTGTTCGTTCCGTGTGATTACGACGTAAAAGCGTGTTAAAGAATTTGATGACAGAAACAAATCATATACAGATAGTTCCACTATTGCAAAAAATATTTTTATATTTTCCTCTACCAAACTTTTGATGACATTTCGCAATGGCAAATAATG